AACAGTAATGTTTTTGGGAGCTGTAAAGTTTAACTTACTCCTAATCATACTTATTATGATAAGGAGCTTGTAAGTGAAGATAGAAATTTGAAATAATAATGTTTTTTTTCTTCCAGTAAATCTGCCAGTAAACCTGCTGTCAAGGCTAAGGGCATKTATCTGACAGAGTCAATCATTAATTTCCCTCAGACTGTACCTAGTCTTAGTAGCATCATGAAAGTCAAAATATGCAACGCTTCTAATCAACAATGTAATGTAAGTACCAAGTCAATGACATATTTAACAGACATGAACAAACAAAAAATAATCAGATTTTAATGAATTATCAGTTACTGATTTAAATATGCTAAATGTGTTAAGRATGGAGGAAAGTGACTCATCTTCCTTTAAACATAAATTTTATGGTGTTCAAAATCCCACGTCAGATATAATAATATTCACAAATATTTGTTTACTAATAGGTCAAAGTGGTTACGCCCAAAGGTCCTTTTTCTGTCACTCATCAAGATGTCATTCTCAAACCAAGACATTATGTGCGAATACCAATCAAATTCACTCCATTTGAACCAAATACAAACTATGAAGCTATTGCACTGTTTACTTCAGAGACCGGAGGAACACAACAACTGACTTTRCATGGCACAAGTGGCAATAAGCTCTCTTAATGTCAAGCAAATTATGAAAGAAAAACTCTGTTTACCTCAGGGCAAATCAGTGTTTATGGTTAATGGAAATGGACAATGTATTTATGGACAATGTATTGTGAATATGCAGCATTTAATGGAAAAGAAATTTGAATGGAAATCAAATGCAACTTGGAAAAAATGAAGACAACAGAAATGAAAAGAAATTCAAATGGACTTAGAGTACTTTATATGTAACTTGATTATGAAAGATGGGAATGGACTTACAAAATTAATGGAAAGAAATGCAAAATGACAAAATGGGAATTGTAATGAATGATTTAAAAGAGAAGAGGGGTGTCTCTCCTGAGGCATGGTTAAGACCATGATAACAGACATACTCTTTGACAATTGGACCTATTTACAATGCTGTATTAGCCAAAGATGTGACATCAATGAATATTATAAATTATGAAGACAAAACTTCACAAGTTTTGCTGAAAAAAAAATTCTATTTAAATAGTGTGCATCATTAGGAATGACATTGGGCAAAAAAATGACATTTGGCAAAAAATGAAATTTTGTAATGAGTGCTTCACAGTTTCCCTCTGTAACTTATTTGTAATATAGTGTATTGAATAWTGTATTTATAAGTGTAACATATCAATTACATATTTATTGTATTTCTGCAGTATTTTGTCATAAATGTCTTCAGGGTAGAGARTGTAAATAAACATCAGAAATCACCTTGAAGTATGTTATGTATTTGCTAATAATAATTCAACTTATCCAAAGTTTTATACAATACTGCTTGTCACTGAATCATGCAGTCACAAGTTTGGTTTATTTTTAATCAGGACTAGAAAGTGTGCCAGTGTCTTTGTAATAACTTCATCTTGAACAGGTAGCATTATAATGATTTCTTTTTACCCAGATAAGTTTTTTAGTTGGTAAACAAGTAACATTAAGATAAAAATACTGTAAAGGGGAAAGATAAAGCACAATGCAATTATTATTGATGAAATAAATAAGCACGAAATTTTGTTTTCTTTATTACAAATTTCAAATAATTGGCTAAAACACAACTTATTTTACTGTGAAAATAAATTAGTCTGAGTAACATCCAATTTCAAATTTTAACTATAATTTTTCACACTGTTAAATTGTAATTATTGTAAGCCTTGTTTTCTGATATMTTTCTTGATGGCAAAAACTAAAGATGGTTGCTTCTACTATAATTACAAAATAATAATATTTTTTCATGCAAGCATGAGGTCATTGGAAGTTAGACGTTATATACATAGATTTTGTCCTTGATATTGTAACTTAAAATCAGCCATGTTAAGAGATGGATGCTCTCAAGATTTGTTAAAAAAGTTGTTTTCCAGTTTATGACCTCTCAGTCCCACATGTAACTATTGATTAATGTAAGATTCAACCAATAGACTCTGGTGGCCATTTCATCTGTCCTAAGAAAGAAGACCTTGGTTTTGTATATCTTCCATATCTCTCTAAATTGCACTGTCTTTGGCTTGACCGCCATCCGATTTCTTGTGATGTCATGATTGGACATGAGGCATTGGACTTGCCGACTGATAGTTGGGATGCTACACTTGAGTCAATAGGGGGAAGTTTGAGGTTTTCTCTCCTTTGCTTGACGCGTACTGCAGCCACCCCAGGGTGTTGTGAAGGATCTTCRTTTGCCAGCTGAAATTGAACATCAGAAATTTAATTGTTTTTAGGTTGTAAAAATTTCACAGATAAAGAAAGTGTGTGTGCTTTTGAGACTTCTTTTTATAAGGAATTTCAAGCCTAACACATTCAAAGCTTGTTGAGGTTTACTCCCTGATGTATGTTTTGAAATGTTTTTTGGGGGGGTTTCCTTAGTAGTCCACAAGATTCACGAAATTTTATTTTTATTACAGTGATTTTTTTCACAAACATACGAAGGAAATCGAATTTATTACTAAGAAAATAACATAAATCAAACAAAGACACCTGAAATAATATGTAAATATCAAAACTGAAGTGGCTCATCAAATTCCAATTTTAAAACATTTCTCTATAAGAATCTTACTTTTTGGTATTGCTTGATAAGAAACCCCCAGTTCTCAGGCCAGTGTTTTGAAGCACCGTGTTCGTGGACGACGTGATCTTTCCTAGACAAATTTAAAAATAAGACATGATAAGACAATGACCTCACAAAGAATCCCTCCGAAATACATCGATCAACAAATGAAAATTTCTCTGATATTTTACTTCAGGTTCTCAACTCTAAGACCAAGACATCAAACGAAAGGAATTTTCTGTAGTTTTGTGCTAAGTGTTTCTCAAACACTGCTGTTTTGGCACAAATATTAGAGTTCGCAACTTGGGAATTAACAATAGTCAACAATCTCCAGCTGCAAGGACTTCTCGCTCGACTTACCAGATTTGATCTGATGCTACGAAGTTACAACTGGATGGGCCTTTGCCAAGCACCATTTCTGTTATATAGCTTTATATTCCACTGTACAAGAAGTAAGGTTAGTAAATTCACATCAATTAAGACAAATTGAAGCCAATAGTCCAGCAACTACAAGAGCGTCCTGTTAATGTTACCATGAGTTCGTTGTTATGGTAACGTTATAATTTGTCCCATGGGGATATGTTACTATATGTTAATTTTGTGATGCTATCTTTTTACAAAACCCGTATATCGATGATCATATATTTACCAGAAATACTTAATAAAATGAATTTTCATTTTTGAAGTCAATAAAATGTTGGGGAAATTGACATTGGGTTTGTTTTTGAACCATCGAAGATTTTGCTCTTTGTATTAACTATGCTTTTTGGAAACATTTATATTCAATATTTTGATCGATGTGTTATAAGTTAGCGAGTAAAAAAATCCTTGAAAATCCCTGAAGTCTTTATTTTTGTTATGGAAACCATTTGAATGTTTCTTATTTTTATTCTCGGTTTYGCAGTGCTCTGTGATTGGTTGAGTGGTTTGGAAGCCTGTTCAATGGTTGTCACGCCGCCAATCCCGGCTGCCGCACGCGAGGGCCGAAGCGATGGGAGCAAGACGTTTTGCCGTCCAAGAATCGTATACTAAAGAGGTGAAGACTTTGTATGATCMATACAGTCATGCATAAATATATTCATGCAGAAACTGATAAGGACCACTATGACATTTTGAAAAATTCAACCCAAAATGAACATTTTTGCAAAGCGGCTTACAGTTAAGACTCAGTTAACTTTTACTGATATTTCTGCCTTTCGGTATGAAATATCGCATGTATAATAAGAATATCGAAAAGAAATGATTATAGTACTTATAATTAATTCATCGATAGTAAGTAAGGTTGACGAAAGGCAAGGGAAAAAAATCAGCCCCTACACTAGCTCAAGTTTGTGTATTCGAAACACCATCGTTTAAACACTAAAATTTGCTTTCCCATGATCCCTCTCGGTCTAAGCTACGATGACGTTCCCKTTTGGAACCCAGCTACGTTTCTTTCGATATAGTTCCGGGCGAGGCTTTTTGATGACATTTTTATATTTTTCACTTCATTACCAACCCAGCAGGCTGATGGCTATTTTAATTGTTTTGTGAAAATTCAATACCCACTGCTACCTTTGCGAATGCGTCTAGCTTGACTATTAAGTAACGTTGCTAACGTATGCGTTAACATTTAACATTTGAGATATTTTTAATGTTGCTTTTTTAATAGAACGTCAGTCTATAATGTAGGTATACCATCAGTTCAAATCCTGAAATGAATTTTATTACTTTAGCGATGTTTTTAATGATTATTGTAAATCTTTTTGGAATATGAAATTCAAGTTCAGTCACTTGGACTTAATTTATGCGTACAATAAAGGCATGTGAACCTATTTCATTACTCACGGCGTTTGCCCTTAGCGATGCTTTTTCCAATTGCTGCAAATTATTGCTTAACTAAAGTAAGGATCGATGACGCGTCGCATGGGCCGTCAAACTAGAGCATCCTGCTGTCATTACGTACAAAACGCGACGTATGTAACATCCTTTGTCTAGTCTCACAATCCTCGCTCACTGGCGCGTTCATATTTGCAGAACTGCTCCTGAAGCAACCATGGGCAGGATTGATTTCATCTTTGGTAAAACATTTTCTATTTAAAAACCGTCACTAGATTATCCAAAATTGCAGTAAATTTACGCACTTATTCGTTTTAATTACTGTTTTATTGATATAACATCAACTATGATACTAAAATCGGTTCATTTTCTCTGTTGTTCTATAGGAGCTTGTGCTGTTATACTGCTTGTTTTTGGAGCAGCCCCTACTATACACGCCTGCAGATCCTCCAATTCTTCGTTGGTAAGTGTTGCTAGTGTTATTTCTATTCATGTTACTCTTCGGAGAAATTATAAAACTTAGTTCCCACTAGAGATTCAACCATTCAGTCAGTAAACCTGTCGTAGGAGTCAGCCGGCGGCGCAAATTCCTTCTCTTCTCCCTCATCAAAACTAGTGTCTACCGATTCCCAATCAGATTCCTTCAGTTTTATATTATATGATTCAATTTTCGATTTATAAAAACTTTTAACAGTGTTTTTTTTACTCAATTCAGAGGGGACCTTTTGAGAAAATTTATTTCGTCTGGCGAAGTTTAAATGGCTGCTGTGTGTGTATGTTTTTTTTATATTTTAAAATAGTTCATATTTTGTCTATCTTAGTTTCCATTTCTTGGATGATTTATTTCACTTATACTTAGGTGAACATAGTGTCGTATTAGTGTGATATTAGCGTAGCTCTCTGTTGGTCTGTGTGATAAATTGCGCATCGAAAAAAGGGGGGAAAGACGAAAGAAAAAAGAAAACTATCTACTCGATGTATCAGACAAAGCATCAGTCCTTTGTAAGACTAATAGACAAACGACGCTTTATACTCGCCTTTTATCCCTTCATTATAAGTGATTTTTGGTATTATTTGCATTACATTTGTCTCTTAAGGAAGTTTATTCGCGTTTTGATAGGTGACAGTGAGACTTTAGGTATAATGATTGGAAAATATGATCTCTGGTATCATGCCAAATGCCATTTGGAAAATATGAGAAAAATAGAAGCTATACAAGAGGACGATTCAGGTGACCACAATACTCTGAGGCCACAGTGTCGAAAAATAATTGTTTTTCATGATTGTTTTTCAAGTTTAAAATCAATCGTTTTTTAATTCATGTTATGGAAATATCAATGTGTTCCTGAGAATCGTAAAGAAATATATCATCTCTTTCGTCGTGTTATTTTGGCATCTCTTGTCACAGTATCACCACATGATCTTTTCTTGCTATGAATGTCGTCATGGCAGCGTACAAAATATTATGTCAAAACAATCAGCAGGGAAAATCTTTCATTGTAAGAAAGGTTCAGGAATGAATATTTTATCACGAACTTTTTTTAAACTATTATTTGTTTGATCACGGGAGTGCTTGCGAATCGAGAAAAATAGATATAACAAAGCCTTGGTATACAGTTAAAACAAATACTTCTACAAACAATACTGTAGCTCTTGTTTCAATGTTTCTTTGTTTTTGATAAATACCTTAGTCCCCCCCTACTTGTTTTTGTTTTTTGGGTGGAGTGGGAGGGGGAGTGAGGAGCTTGATTGCAAGTTGCTTGGTTGCACGCTGTAAACGTTTGCTTTACTTATTATATATCAGTTTAACATTATTTAGGGAAAGAGAATATATTATCTCTTCAATATGCACATATTTTACCGGTTAGTCTATGCTAGTAGAATATATTTATAACCGGACCACACCTCGACTAACCATTTTTGATAGTTAAAACGAATAATGGTATTTTTTCAGAATGCTTGTCCTCCAGAACTTCAGCAATGTGTTGAGCTCTTGAAACATCGTGAACTCTGCAGCAAAMTAGAAAACATTTGTACTGCCATAGCAAATGGCAATGCTTCCCACCATATTGCTGCTTTTAACCAAAACCAATGCCCAATTGGGAGAGATTTTTGCCCAACAACTCAAAGTTGTCAGCCAGTTAACACAACCTGTGACCTTAACACTGAAAACAATGCTTGCAAAGGGTCGATTGCTTCTCCTTGGGGAGAAAATTGTTCTCAGGCAGATCATGAATTCTGTACTATCTCAATGTCATGTATCCATAACAACGCCACGTGTTCTCTGAGGGCCATTCATGAGTGGAGTTTAGCTATGAATACAAGTTATGGACCATAYGGGACATCTTGTACAACTGATAAGACGTTCTGCCTGTCTACAATGAAGTGCATTAATTCAAGTGCAGAAGCTTGCCATGTGTCACTTAATGCAACAGCGTTTRAAGGCTTTTGTACAAACGACTCAAATGTTTTCTGTCCCAAGCGAGCGTCGTGTATTGAAGCCAACAGCTCGTGTACCTCCTTCCAACCTGTTAATCTAACGACAGTTAATGACACAGGACTTGCTGGTGAGTCAATTGCATTTTAAATTTTGTAGTTTTAAAACTGTTGGTCTTACAAGTTTACATTATTGAGAATATGGATAAACATATTTAGTAAGGAATAATTTATGGATGCAGYTATGTTTGCATAATTTTTCATTCCGCTTCAAATGTTAGCAATACTGGTGRTAAACATGCATAAAAATAACCTTACCGATGTTGATCATTCCATGTATAGGATGGAAGTACTTGTGTGAGGCACGRCAAAGTTTCTGTACCCGCTACAGCGCTGGTTTGGCAAAATGCTTTCCACTGGTATCGCATTGTCTTTCGGCAAGTATTTCACCAAGCGTTCCTCCTTGTACAGTCAATGAGACATATTGCAACTCGACTTTGATGTGCCAAGCATTTGACAAACCTTGCTGTTTACGGAATGAGTCATTCTGCAATTATACAGGAAAGTGTCACCACCTAGACGAGCCGTGCTGTCCTGAGAATTACACCTTCTGCAATCACACAAGAAAATGCTATCGCCCTGATGTGCCGTGTTGTCCACAGAATCACACATTCTGCAATTATACAGGAAAGTGTCACCAACTCGAAGAGTCGTGTTGCCCTGAGAATTACACCTTCTGCAATTATACGGGAAAATGTCATCGACCTAGCAAACCATGTTGTCCACAGAATCACACATTCTGCAATCACACAAGAAACTGCCATCGCCCTGACTTGCCGTGCTGTCAACAGAATCACACTTTCTGTAACTACACTGAAAAGTGCCTTCGTTCTGAAGAACTTTGTTGTCCACAGAATCAAACGTTCTGCAAGCACACAGCAAAGTGTCATCAGCTCAACGAGCCGTGTTGTCCTGAAAACCACACATTCTGTAATACTACAGGGTTGTGCCATCGTCCTGAACAACTTTGTTGCCCACAGACTCAAGTACTCTGTCAGTATTCACAAAGGTGCCATCGTCTCGACGAACCATGTTGTCATGAGAACCACACATATTGTAATACTACAGGGTTGTGTCATCACCCTAAACAACTTTGCTGTCCTGAGAATAAAACTTTTTGCACGTACACAGCAAAATGTCATCGGCCCGACGAACCATGTTGTCCTGAGAACCACACATTCTGTAATTCCACAAAGTTGTGTCATCACCCTAAACAATTTTGCTGTTCACAAAATCAAACGTTTTGCAATCTCACAGCAAAATGTCATCGGCCCGACGAACCATGTTGTCCTCAGAACCACACATTTTGTAATACGACAAAGAAGTGCCAACCTCCTAAAGAGCCATGCTGTCCACAAAATCACACCTTGTGTAATTATACAAGACAATGTAAAATGGCCAAAGAACCGTGTTGCCCTCAGAACCACACATTTTGCAATACGACGAGGAAGTGCCAACCTCCTAAAGAGACATGCTGTCCACAAAATCACACCTTGTGTAATTATACAAGACAATGTAAAATGGCCAAAGAACCGTGTTGCCCTCAGAACCACACATTTTGCAATACGACGAGGAAGTGCCAACCTCCTAAAGAG